GGCTATAGACTCTTTTGAACCATTCAAATCTCCAGGTTTGGATGGAATTTATCCAATTTTAATTCAAAAGTGTAAAACAGTATTGATTCCGGCCTTAGTAAGTTTACTTAAAGCAAGCTTTTTGCTTAGATACATTCCTACAACGTGGCGACAAGTTCGAGTAGTATTTATACCAAAGGCTAATAAAAAAGACAAGTCTTCTCCCAAATCATTCAGCCTATCAGTTTGTCGTCAATTTTCCTTAAATTAATGGAAAAGATAATAGATGAAAATATCAAATCTGAAATTCTTCCAAAAATACCAATGAGTAAAGCTCAATTTGCTTATCAACCAGGCAAATCAACAATTACAGCATTACACACTCTTGTCTCAAAAATCGAAAAATCCTTCGAAGCAAAGGAGGTATTAATGGCTGCCTTTCTTGATATCGAAGGAGCATTTGATAATGCATCTTTTAAATCAATGGAAACTGCCATGACGTGGGTTTAATGAAAGCGTAATATATTGGATAGTAGAAATGTTATCGAATCGTGAAATAACATCAAATCTTGGAGAGTCAACCATAAAGGTAACAGCTGCTAAAGGCTGTCCTCAAGGAGGCGTCCTCTCTCCTCTTCTATGGTCGCTAGTAGTAGACGAGCTTCTTATTAGTCTTGAATCGCTAGGGTTTGAAATTATTGGGTTTGCGGATGATATAGTGATAATAGTCCGCGGAAAATTTGATGAAATCATATCAAGCAGAATGCAGACGGCATTAAATGTAGCTACACTGTGGTGCAAGAATGAAGGATTGAAAATAAATCCTTCAAAAACAACGATTGTACCCTTTACAAAAAGACGAAAAGTCTTATTTTCAAAACTTTCTTTGGAAGGAACAGAATTAAAATATTCTTCGGAAGTAAAATATTTAGGAGTAACTTTAGATAGCAAGCTCTATTGGAATGTACATTTAGAACAAGTAATAAAAAAAGCAACCAATGCTCTTTGGATTAGTAAAAGGACGTTTGGTAAGAAATGGGGACTCAAACCTAAAATGTTACATTGGATTTATTCGGCTATAGTAAAACCAAGAATAATTTATGCATCACTAGTTTGGTGGCCAAAAACAGCTCAACAAAGACTTGAAAAACTGCAGAGGTTGGCCACTACCTCCATAACTGGAGCAATGCGCAGTACTCCATCTAAAGCCTTAGAAGCTTTGCTTAATCTTCTTCCTTTACATCAATTCATTCAACTGGATGCAATGAAGAATGCTCTCAGACTCAGACGAACAAAAGAGCTCTTTGAAGGAGATCTTAAAAATCATATGAGCATCTTGAAAGAGATTCAATTAAGTCCACTAATTTTAAAGAATGAAGATTTTATGGCAAAAACTCATGAATTCAACCATCTATTTAATGTGTTTAATACAACACGCAATGATTGGGAGACTGGAGGGCCGTTGATTCGTCCTGGGTCTATAACATTCTACACGGATGGCTCAAAACAGGATAACAGGGTAGGGGCAGGAATAACAGGTCCCGGAATTAACTGTTCTGTAGCAATGGGTAAATGGCCAACAGTATTCCAAGCAGAAATATTTGCGATTCTAGAATGTGTAGAAATATGTTTAAAAAGAAATTATAGGAATGCAAACATATGCATTTTTTCGGACAGTCAAGCAGCATTGAATGCCCTTAAATCAATGATCTACACTTCAAAGTTAGTGTGGGAATGCTATAATCAACTTCAGAAATTGTCCTGTCGTAACAAGGTAAATCTATATTGGGTTCCTGGTCATTGCGGCATTGAAGGAAATGAAAAAGCTGATCAATTAGCAAAGCTTGGCTCATCCCAGAAATTTATTGGTCCCGAACCATTTATTGGTCTATCGCCTTCTAATCTGAAAATGGAATTAAAGAACTGGGAAAAAAGCAAGGTACAATCCAATTGGAATAATACCTCAACAGCCCGGCAATCTAAACAATTCATTAAGCCCAACGTTTTGAGTACGCAAAGGTTACTCAATCTTTCCAAAACAGATTTAAGCACCTACACTGGATTAATAACAGGACATTGTCCTAGTAAATATCATTTTAAAAAATTGGAAAGCTTAGCGACGATAGATGTCGCTTTTGTTATTTGGAGAGCGAAAGCTCTGAACATTTATTGTGTGATTGCACTGCTTTATTTAATAAACGATGCAGATTTCTTGATAAAGGACTCACCGTACCTGAAGAAATTTGGACCAGTATACCCAATAAAGTTGTAAACTTCATTCGAAGTGCAATTCCATATTGGGATAATGCCGATGATCAATGATGAAGATCACTCTACATAGTGGTTGATCATCAAAACACACGGCAAATAGTAAAAAGAGGATACACCACAATAGATCAAAACACTGGTCGCAGTGGTAAATGTCCACGACACGGAAAAAAAAAACCTTATCTGTATATAGGTATCTAGTTTGGAAATCGGTATGAATACCGAAAAATCGGTATATCTGGCAACGATGTTTTCTACGTAGACACAAAGCGTTCGTTTCACCGATGAACTTGGTCCGTTTGAACTCGTTCAACGCATAGTTCGGTTACGTTCGCAATACGAGAACCGAACGAAGGGTGTGCAACTGTCATCTTTCGGTTCGCTTTATAGATGCTGAGCGAATAGACAGTTCGTTGCTCGCTTTCGTTCCAGGTGACATCACTGCTTAAAATTTGTAAAACTGTGAATATTTACTCCTTATAAAGCTGGTAAACAAAACTTTTTTAAGTGAAAACTATTAGATTAGTTTTAGTCTACCTTTAAAAATAATAAAAAATTGATTTTTTTTTTCTATGATTGTACATTAATATCACCATGTTTAAATAAAGACAAGCACAGTTAAATTTAAAATGATACCAGAAGTAACCTATCAAGATTAATTGAGCAATAGAAGAATCCCGATTAGTTAGAAAAAATTTGATTTTGTCACGTACTGAAACGAAACATGCCAAAAACCTAACGTACCAATAAAAAAAATAAATGTTTTAACTAAAAGTTAAAAAATTTCCAAAAATTTATGTTTTTGACCTTTTTATTTAAATAAAAATTTCAAAAATCAGAGATAGATATTTTGAAAAATTTAGGTTTTTAACATACTTTTGGAATTTTTACTTGAAATTATAAAAAAAAACTTTTTTATATATTTTTCAAAGAAAACCCTTATTTTCCTCTACAACTTTCTGTCAAACGTCATTTCGATCAGAAATTCCGTTTCCGTGCTACAATTTTTTGAAAAATTTAAAAGGCGCCATTTTAAAATAAAATCAACAATGGCTGAATTTTAGCAAAAATTTCAATCATTGCCCATAACAAACAATTATGCTAAGTTTCATGCAAAACGGAGAAACTTGAGTTTTTTCCGATTCGCCATTTGGCGTAGAACTGCTCTTTTCTAAAAAAAAAAATGGTGCTTAAATTGTTCAAAAACGGTTTACTCATCCCTTACTTTAAAGTTAATCGGTGGTGTATATCTACATTTTTTAAATACAAAATTCAACTAAAATGTAATACAACTGCTACATTGAATTTACCATACCATCACACGACCCTTCAATTTTCAAATTTGTATGTCAGTGCCTTTTATTTAAAACAACAATATATACCTACTCAAGTAAGCGCCACCGGTGGTGTTAAGCGTGATTGCCTGTCACTCACTCCAAAAGGCCTGGGTTCAATCCTAGTCGGCGCCGACGGGATTTTCTGAGGTATAAAATCTCTGATCACGCCTTCCTTCGGAAGGGTAGTAAAGCCGTTGGTGGTGACCATGAGTTGATGGGTCGATAGGGTCCAGGTGTGGAAATTGCCTATCTGGCGTCGGTAGCATTAGTACTCAGTACGGAAAACAACATCGACGGAAAACAAATCAAGGGAATAAAAACCCTACTCAAGTGGTGATTAATTTCCAATTTTCCTTCAATAACAACCCATTTTCTGTTTGATTCCATTGGAGCGCTTGGTACAGATACATATTTCTGCTGAGGGACATTAAAGCTAAGTGGAAAATAAACATTACACATTATTCCAAGTGCCTGCGCAGGTGATAAAAGCGGTCTTCTAAACCAATAATAATAATACGGTGTAAAGTGAAAAAGTGAATTGCACGTATATTTACTCTGGGGATTAACTTACTGACATCGTCTGGCACTTATAGGAAGAAAAAGAGTTTAGTGATTGCTGTCGGAAAAGAGGTTTATTACTGAGAATATGTTTCTATTACCTTGGCTCAATTCATAAGTGATGACAGAAAACACCGTCGCGATTGATTGTTCACGTGCCTTCGCAAGAGGTGCAATTTTATTGACTTTGCGAATCAATTGAGCTTCAATTTATTATCAATTGTTTGTAATGGCGGGTTTGGAAATGCACGTAGGTGTTTAAAGTGGATTATTGGGGTCTCAGCACCTCATTGAACGAGTCAGACGGGCGTACGATTGGATCGAGCAAGATAATTATCATAATGGAATAATTAACTGCATGTTGCAACAAATGTCATTGATTTGCATTATTTATGGAAAGACTGACACATTGATCATTCTAAATGTAATGGAAACGTTTTGACATGTGAAGTAACGATGCATAACGATGGGATTTTACCATCGTATGTCCAAGTAAAATGCACGATGTTATTGAATCTTAATCATAGTTTGACATTCTTGCTACATTTTTCGAATCTAAAGACATTAAAACTCTAAGGGAAGAACAGCATTAGCAAAACTGGGACATCGCTGCGTGAGTATATCATTACAAACCTCTGTGGAGAACCTGTCAGTTCATCAGGATGGTATTTGTTCTCTGTCGTTACGCTTTTACAGCAAATCAATAAAAGCCCCCTTGATATTATAGATACAATCTCGAAATCTGTCTTCCTCTGGCTTCTCTTAATTGTTAAACAATCTTGCTCCATTTGCTCACATTTAAAATTTTCAACAACTCGTCTAACCTTATTGTTTTTTTCCGAACCCCTTCCTTTACAGATTCATGGGCGTCTGTGTGCAAGAAGGTCAGTTGCACGCCCTCACCGAGTACATCGAAGACGGTTCACTGGAGCAGCTGATCGCAAACAGCACCGTATATTTGTCACCGCTGTTGAAAATACGAATCGCACTCGGGATCGCCCGGGGGATGCAGTACGTGCACGACGTCGGTATCTTTCATCGGGACCTGACAAGCAAGGTAACTTTTAACTTTTATCCACCTTTGTGATATTTAGAGCGTTGAACCATTTTATGACTTACAACGCTTTCCACAGAATGTGCTCGTGAAAAGAACTGCAGACGGTATGTACGATGCAGTGGTCGGAGATTTTGGACTGGCAGCCAATATCCCGCGTAAATGGTAAAATAGAATTTTCATTCACAGGCATCAGATTCAGTCACTTATCTAGTATCTCATATTCACAGTGGTAAACCACGACTGGACACAGTAGGTTCGCCCTACTGGATGAGTCCCGAGTGCTTGAAAGGGCAATGGTACGATCAAACCAGTGACGTGTTTTCCTACGGGATCATCCTCTGCGAGCTGATTGCGCGGGTGAGTTCCAACCTTTGAAGAAAGTTTTACCAACTGTCAGATTAACTATTTATTTATCTCTTCAGATTGAGGCTGATCCTGACTTCATGCCAAGGACTGATTCATTCGGACTGGATTACATCGTGTTTGCCGATCTCTGTCCGAATGATACGCCACCGGCGTTTCTAAGACTGGCTTTTTATTGTTGTACCGTGAGTATACGGCAGACGACTGGGCTGACTTTCCCCGAAAACTATTTTGTCGAAAACACGTTCCTCGGAAATCTTTTACCCGTCAGGATAGTTTTCGTACGCTCATTTTTCTCCTTGATTTGTTTTCCGTCGATCTTGTTTTCCGTGCTGAGCACCAATGCTACCGACCGCAAGAGAGGCAGCTCCCACCCTACCTATCTACCCATCAAGTCACGAACCGGTGACCAACGGCTTTACTTCCCTTCCGAAGGGAGGTGTGATCAGAGATGTTATGCCTCAGAACATCCCGGCGGCGCCGAGTGGGATTGAACCCAGGCCTGCTGGGGTGAGAGGTAATCACGTTTACCACTACACCACTGGCGCCGCTCTAAGCTCTTCTTCATGGGCTTGAATAAGATTGAATAAAAATTGAAGTAGTTCAAATACTTCAGAATTTGGAGACGAACCTTGCAACCATGCCTATCACGCGCCCTCGTAGCTTTATCAAGTCAAGATGGCTGGGTTCGATTCCCGGTCCGGTCTAGGAATTTTTCGGGTTGAAAAATTTCGCGACTTACCTGGGCATAGCGTATGATTGTATAAGCCACACAATTATATTAATGCAAAAATGATACAGGCAAAGCTCTCAATTCATAACTGTGGAAGTGCATCTAGAACACTAGCAATATGCGAGGAAGAAGAAGGAAGAGCTTCAGAGAACACTAAGTTTAGCATTACTCACAAAAGAAGCGTAAAACAGCTTAGAAAAGAATCAATAACAGAAATCGCTAATCAAAAAGCAAATCAATTCGAGTGATATATATTAGAAATAATGTGATCTACAAAAAGCTTATTTTTATTGTTTATGATCCACGTCTTAAAATCTGCTACGCTGTCTGCAAGGCTCTGGATTAGATCCTTCTGATAATTGTATAGTGACCAAAGCTACATCCAACATATTTCAGGCGTCCCGTTGCCAATTCATCTCACCCATTCACTGTTATTATTTTGTGCAGCAATCAGTTTTGATAAAGTCATTCTCATAAATCACTCAATCAGCTCTCGCAAAAAATTAATCTCACTTGCGAAATATACAGGAAAGTTTCCCAAGTGAAAAATGCAAGGTGGCAATTAAACCAGGAAAAACAGGAAAAAGATGGAATTTTATTTTCACCAGAAAAAACCGAGAAAAAGTCCGAAATTTGAAAAATCGACTTGAAAAAAAAATCTTTTTTCTATGATTTCAATAGCTTCTGAATTTCACATACGTGATAATGGCACAAGTTTTAACAAACCGATTGTCATCATGAATTTTAACAAAACTTATCATTTCGTTAAAACTAAAACTTCCACGCATCTAAAAAAAATCTGGTTTAATAAATATATTGCATATTTATCGTTATTATCATAACTTTTTTTAACTCACTCGGCTGTCGACAAAAGCAGGCCACTCTCGATGTGTGCTACGCGATCGTCTGTTTTCTCGGCAGCAACCATTGTGTGGTCCTCCTCATTGTTCTTCATCAGCAGTTCTTTCGGTCGATGCGTCGTCGACTTTGGAAAGCAACCGTTTAGTGATGAGTGTGTGAGTGCTGACCACGTTTTGCGTCCATTGCTGCAATGGACGCGCTCTGACCCTCGTTGGCGTACAACAATTTGCCATACAATGAAACTACTAGAAGCGGCTCCAGTTCTGATGGAGGAGGCTTTTTGGATAGCGGAAGATAAAGTGTTTATTGTGTTGTACTTTTTGACTATAGTTTTAAGATGTATTGTATAGTGACCAAGAATCCTCGGCTCTGTAAAGTTAATTCGGTTGAGCCTTATCAAATAAATTAATAAAGAAGATAACTTTTTTTCGCATCAATTGGATGCATGATTCGGCTACGTGCTTTTTTGATCGTAAAATCGAGCGAAAATTGACAGCTGAGCATTCCTTGGCTGATTGATGACTCGTTTTCAAGTACATCAATTCGTAACGGGTAAGCAGTCACTTAGTAAAGCAAATCAATCATTTGATTCCTACCTTTGGAGTATGTTAGCTATGTTAAGCAGATAAAATTAATCCAAATGGCTAGAATCGAAGCCAGAAACGATTGCTCGTTGATTTCAAATCTAGTAATATCATTTAATATTTAGTCTATCATTTTCGAGCTTGCACTTGGTGAGAACGGTTTTCATATTCTTTTAGTTTCTCGCCTGATTCGTTCTACTGCTGTCAGTTCTGAGTATATGTGCAGGCATCTGTTGATTAGAATTAAAACTCATTCAAGCATCCATGCATGGCTATTTTGCTGCTCGCTTGAATGAAAGAATTTACCTATTATTTACCCACTCAAAATTGGTTAAAATGTGCAGGTCACGGCTGAAAGTCTCTTTAATAAAGAAATCTAATCTTATTTCATCTAATCGGTTACAATATTCTTCCTGTCAAAATACACGGTTTTGCAATTGTTTTCACAACTTTCATAGTAGCAGGTAATTATAATAGTTTAAAGTAAGATTGAATTATGATTTTACTTAATTTGCCTCATTGTGACTTAAACTTATATTTATTTAAAAAAAAACTGGCTTCACTTGGCTAGATTTAATGAGACTTTCAATTATTTATATAGGAATCTGTATAAATACATTTATACCAAATCATCCAAATTTAATAGGGCTCAACAAATTGCAGTAGCTTGTCAAGCTTAACAGACCAGCGTTGCTTCAAAAGTGAACTGATTTTAAAATCGTGTTGTAATCAAAATTGTACCTATATCAGATCTTTTGTGATGTGATTGTTTTTGGCTAAAATAGATAACACAAATTTCATTTAAAATTATACAAGTATTGAAATGTATTTTAAAAACTGAATTATTCTCTTAACCGAATTGATCCCACGGGAATCCCTATGCAAAATTGGCTGTCCAAATCCACTGTTTATAGATAAACATATAGTTTCTTCAGCAATATTGTTCAACAATACTTCAGCGGTACCGGTAGTGTATTTAGTGGTTAACGTAATTGTCTCTCCTTCCAAAGGTATGGTCGAATAGGTAGGGTCCAGGTGTGCGGGCGTCGGTAGCATTGGTACTCAGTACGAAAACAAGATAGACGGAAAACAAATCAAGGAGAGAAAAAAATAAACCAATAGCGTGCCAGCACCATATTTGACGCGTTTCTAATAATAATGCACTCTTCTATTTTTGATCGCATCTCGATTTTGACAAGATATTTTTAAAATCTTTGATACACCATCCGAGGGCACTGGAACTAATATTTGCAGAAGTAACATTTCAAAAACAATGATTTAAAATAGTCGAACATTATTGAGTGCGTCGATTAAGGAACCGCTTCGAATATGGTGCCTCCACGGTACTTCAATAATTCGAAAAAAAAAAACACAAAATGGGATTTAAATGAATACTTTGATGATCTGGATCATCAAAACCTCACGAAATAATAAGCATGCATAACTTTGAAGAGCTTTTTTCAAATAACGAGCCTATATGTTGCATCACTAAGATCATAAAGACATATCTCAATACAAGACACATAAACAGGACATACGTGGCAGTACAAGTTATCCAGTCATCTTGTATGTAGATTCGATCTTAAAGTTCTACAGGTTCATGAAAGTATTATACGATGTCCCAAAGTACCATACAATGTTCCGAACGATTTGTTGATCCTATAGAGTTTGATTAAGCCCAATAGCAGGATTCAAAGTTATGTTGACAAAATATCTCTAGTCCTACATTCATCCTGAAGTTTGGCTCTTCAAGTATACGGTGTGCAGTATTTATTTATTTATTTATTGTTCCAATTGATCCAATATATGGTTGTCTTAATGAATTAAAAAAGTATAATTAGAACAAAAACAGGACACGTTCTAATTCAGGACCGTCTTCTAATAAAAACAGTTAACGGCACATTAAAGTCAAACAATCCATAGACTTCATTAAACGCATTAGCGACGGCTCGGATAGGTTCATTCAACCTATATTGCCGATTACGACCTGCGAGATGTACAAAATTACGCTGTCTAATCACTCTCTCAGGTGCGTAAAAGAAAAGCTGCCGAACGCAGAGCGACACAAATCGGTCAAATTGGTTGTAACTGACCGTTTTGGGTAGAATCCATGCTGAGCCGTGAAGATGAAATTTTTACAAGAGCTGAAGAGCGCCTCATTGATGATGATCTCGAATACTTTGGAGCAGCAACATAATTATGTGATTCCTCTGTAATTCTGGACATTCCTTATGTCACCTTTCTTGTGGACGGGGAACATATACGAAAATTTCCACGCCTCAGAAAATTTACTCTCCTGTAGTGACAGATTAAATAACTTCACCAAGGGAGTGAGCAACGACTCCGAAGACAGCTTCAGAACGGACGCAGGAATTGATTGACGGTATGTTCACTTATGTGAAACGGACGGAGCACAAATGCATCTGTTGGAGAATTGCTTATAGCAATCGTGACTTGATTTGGTGAGGCCGAAGATTTATTGAACGAAGTCATGAAATGTTGAGCAAAAAGGTGGTATTTCTCCGCTTCAGATTCAGCGGTTTGACGGCGGCTCACCAAGATTAACTGACAATGGCAAACCGACTTCTTCCTTTTTAGAGTTTACAAACGACCAGAAACGGTTTGGAGTTCTGCGAAGAGATAATTGCGTACGGAAGACATATCGTCGATACAGGAATCTGTTGCATTTCCTATAGTCGTTACTTGTGCGGTTGAACGCCTGCTCCGTAATTTACGAACGATTTTGGCAGTATCTTCGTAGGGATTTAGTTTCAGTCGAAGCAAGTGACCGTTAGACCACGGTGGCTTTGGTGCGAGGCGGGCAATAGGTACAAATTCAGCCATAATATCCCAAATCATTTGACTGAAATATTCAACGGCATCGTCAACACATCCAGCTAATTCTAATGGTCGGCAATCGATACCGGAAATAGCAGCACTGATCGCAACATAGTCGGCTCGACGGAAATCCAGTGTACGATTATTTTCAGAACAATCCTCAAAACGA